GCCGCGGCAAATCCGCAAACAAGTTCCGAGCGCATGGATGTCGCGCTGAAACGCGCAGCAAGGAGAGTCCGAAGCTGAAAACTTGAACGCTCGAAATAGCAATTTCGGCCGCACGTCCCTGCTGCCCGCACCTAGCAACAACATAATTTTCAAATAATTTAACATGTGCCGCCCCTAAGGGATGGCCACTTTAACCCACGCCTCCTAGGTGCGGGCAGCATTCACTGCATTTGCACTACTACTGGTATTGTTCGCCTCCTCATTCATATTTAGATTCAAGCAAAAGGTAGTGCCTAGGGGAGGGGCTAGTAGTCGTAGTAGTAGTAGTAGTAGTAGTAGCAGCAGCAGCAGTAATGCAGATGGGACTGTCAGTGTTGCCAATGTGTCAAAGGTATGGGCTCGCAATAGTCACATCTCAAGTAGTACGTAGAGGAGTAGTAGCCGTAGTGGAAATAATAGTAGCAGTAGTAGTGGTAGTCGTGGCCTTGCAGCAGCAGCAGCAGCAGCAGCAGCAGCAGAAGCAGCAACAGCAGCAGCAGCAGCAGCAGCAATACTAGCAGTGGCCGTGGCAGTGGTAGTTGCTAGCCGCAACCGTAGCGGCCGGTGCTTTTGATTGATGCTACTGTTGGGGCTGCTTCCTCTACTGCTGCCAGTACTGCTGATGCTGCTTCCCGCGGCTGCTGCTAATGCTACCACCCAAACGAATTGTTACTTCTGCTACGGCTGTTTCTGCCGCACCTGTAGTACAATGCGAGCGAGTGCCAGTGCCAGTACCTCTACAGGAGGCACTAACACTGGTGGCCAAGACAGGCAGCTCACGCGTCTGCAGCACTCACTCTGACTTGGTGAGGCCAATGAAGTTGGGTGATCCACCCTTGCCCAGAATGGAACTAACGTTCAAAGACCAACTTGCAGCAAGATGGCTTGCGTCATCGCAGGACGGAGATGAGGGACTCTGCATGATCTCGTTGCGTGCTGCCTCGAAACAGGGTGGTGCAGCCTTGCAGGCGCTCATTCTTATTGTGGCTACCTGTGATTAATTTCGAACACATTTCCACAGCAACTCACGGCTAGGGCTAGCAAGATCCCAGCTAACATGCTGTTGCCAGGGCTCTGAATAATCAGCGTCTGTCTACCCTACATGTCCCACTTCGAGAAGCCACCGGGAAAACACGGTAAAGCCCCCGTTTACGAAGGGGAAAAAACCACAGGCGCAGTCGCTCCAGAGGCTCCCTGGACCCTGAAAATACTCTCTGGCCCAAAACCTTTTGTCACAGGCCTTGCATAGCTCTGCCTGAATTTAAACAAGCCAATGCAGTGCCTAAACTTGAGGCTTCGGCTGTAAAACCTGTAAACTTCCCGTCCCGAGCCCTAAACCCGGGCCTCCCAAAGCTCCTCAGGCTCCCTCCTGGGTCGCTTGGTCAGGTGCCCGGAAGGCAGCTCCTCAGGGGCAGGTCGCAGAAGGTTGTAATACATAGGCATCTCAACAGAACACGCTACTCTTATTATTTGAGGGGCTATAGGAGGTTGGTAGGAAAACGAGCGCGAGTGCGAGCAGGGCACGAGCAGTAGGAGTAGTCAGTGGTAGTACAGTGGCAGTAGCCATGGCCGTGGCCGTTAAAGTGGCAACGCAAGAGCAGTACGTGGCAGTAGCAACAGCAGCAGCAGGTAGCACTTGCATCAGCAAAAGAGCAGGAGCAGAACAGGAGCAAAAGTACTTCTCGTGGTGGTCTCGGTGGTGGTAGTCGCAACAGTGGCTATAATCGTGGTAGTCGCTTCTGCTGAGGTGGACAAGGACCAAAAGCAACAGTCATCTTCGTAGTCGCAGCCGCCGTAGGGCGTTGTAACGCAATCACATGTTTGCAAAGTTTTGCAAATGCGTACATCTGACCTAGCCTCCAAAGCTTCGTTTGCTTGTTTGGTCCTGAACATCTGCAGTGGAACTTGTGGCTGGCTCGGCAGGTTCACATACCTCAGCTTATGAGCCAGCTCAGGCACGACATTCACAAGCGCAGGCATACAGTATATATACAGCTTGACTTCTGGGTTTTGGGGGGGTATGACATGCTGTGCAGTCTAGACCGTTGACAAGTAAGCATGCCGGTCCAACAGGCACAAACATTGGACCACCAGTCGTAGAAATGCATGCGGCTCTTGCACAAGTTGGGCAGCTCTTCGGCCAGTGGAAGTGAGATGTAGTGAGTAGGATGGTGACCGAAAACCCAGGACCCTGACAATTGCGGTTTATCACGAGGCCTCGTCGAAGTAGGCTGATCCAAACAAGTCTTCCGCAGTCTCCGCGTCTTCTCCCACGGCAGCTTGTGCCTCTTTTTCAACGCTGAGCGCCGTTTATGATGAAACAAGTTGTCCATTCAAGGTGGCTTTCAGTTTGGGGGATTTCAAAACTAGGGGTAATTTGTTTGGGGGTCCCTGTAGTAAGGATTATAATATATGGGGTCTATTTGGGTGTCCCCCTAATTTTGGAAAACTATCATTCAGTAGGCCTTTCAGAGGGTAATTTGCTTCCTGGGGACAATGTGCATAGAGATCCCACATGGGCCCACCTGTGTCTTTACCCTGCAAAGTCTTACTGGTTCGTAGTTGGGAATAAGGGAATAATCCTATAATCCGTATAGATTCTAATATATTCCCTCGTTCCCTACTAAGAACCCCGAAGAAGTCAGGATTCCTAAGCCCTGAACCCTAAGCAGCCCCATGTGAATTCCGTCGGCCTCAAGGGAATGGGCGAACTCAGCCTCGTCTTCAGAAGGCGCCTCGCCCAAAGACAGGACTTACTGCTTTTCTTTAGGGTTTAGGCTTTTAGGGTTGGTAGGGAATAAGGGAATGCATTAGGCAGGGATTGTAGAGGGTATTAATTACCAACATTATAGGAATCATGGAGAATCAAATGCAAATCCAAAGGATAATGAATTGGAAGCTAACTACTACGCATAGGGAGTATGTAGGGGTTAAATGGGGACACAGTAACCCACAATGGAGAATCAAATGGAAACATGGTAAATGAAATGGAAACTGGGTTATATGGGGTTTGCAAGAAGTGTTGCAGGAAAGCGCCTGCAAGCCAATGTACAAAGAGCTGCGGATCTTGCACGTGAATTCCGACCCCCGCCCAGAGTCACAATCAAAACCGCCATCAGCAGCAATCCCGAATCTACCCCGTTCTACCTCGCACGGCCAATCGCCTCCAGAAAGGCCATTGCCTCATCGGCCTCACCAGATCCTGTCGGACCATGATTGTGCCAGGGAAGGTGTCCAGGGGGAATCATGCAAAACCCAAGGAGAAGCCCAAGACTTTATGTAGGAGCAGGCCTCTTGCAGTGGCTCTTACACCAATTTCGCGATGCAACAGCGCGTTATCGCGCCTCCCTTCTAGCTTGTCAAGAACCTCAACATCGCTGCCACCACCCAACCATCGCCACCGCCACTGCCAATAATATCAATGCATGATGCACCATACCACCGCAGGCGCTACTGCAAGGGCGGCAGGCCGCTAGATTTAGATCACTGGAGCAGGAAACCTTTTTGGACGGTGTCAGACGTGTGTATGCGGTGGCCATACTTGTGCACGCCACGCCGTGCCAGGCCACTTAGCCCTACTAGTCCACTGCCTGACGAAGAGTCTACAGCCAGCTGGCGCATGCCATGGTGACAAGAGCTGCAGCAGGTTCATCTCTACACCAGGGTTGTATAAGGTTATCTAGCGTTACTGGTTTTGTGGGGAGAAAAGGTCACCAAGTTCCCGAATAGCCAACTATAGCAGTCCGTCACGCTGCTGTCCAGCTGTGGCTTTGCAGATCGCTGGCCTGCCTCATGCACGAATTTGTCGACATCGTGTAAGTGCAGGCTCTTGCAAGCAGAGCTGGCGTCGAATTAAACAGCTTCGTCGAATTTGCCACACAAAACTTCCTGTTGCTAGGTGACAAAATGCTCATACTTTCAGTGACTTGGTTGGTGAGGGTGCTCGGTGAATCTAAAGACAACTAGAATCTAGGCAGTGCCGTGCTGCACCCAGACACCCAACCCTCAGCCTTCAAACGCGAAACAAGAGGAGCGCAATGGATCGACTTGCCAGACAATGATAAGAACTCTGATAAGCTCATAGACTCACAGAACGTACTTCAGATCGAGATCTCCTCTTTATGGCCTCATGCGTGCGGCACTCGGCTCGGAACATCATGGAACAAGCTTCAGGCGAACCCTATCATGCAGGAGCACTCACTTGTGCACCATCATAAAGGGATCAGCTGGGATCAGTCCCCACGGAGCTCTTCGACAGCTATTCCCAAGTAGCGCCGGTACCACTGCTTCTGCTGGGCAGTGCCCAGGAGAGCAGCCGATGCCTCCTTGCAGCCAGAATTTTGCTAAGGCATCTAACCACCGGAAGAACAAGGGTTCCCTGAAAAAGTGGGGAAAAGAAGTAACCACCCCCCCTTTTCATTTAGTGGAAGGGCTTGGCAAGAAGCATAACCCCAAGGCAGTATCTTGCAAGTCGCATCGCAATGAGCAAGGATAAAGACAGCACCAGGGTGCCTGAAAGCCATGATTTGACAAAGATATGCATGGCTCTGGATGATGATAAAGAGGTGCCATGAACACAAAGTAGCCTAGCAATGGCCACCAGACCACCCCAACGTGCCAATGGCCATGAATTGGATTCGATGCCCAGAGCCCGAATGCTTCAAAAACCCTTCTAAAGACTGCGACACAAGGAATTGTGTCTCGTCCTCAGCATTACAGTATGCAGAGGCCCTTCTTCTAATGCATCATCTATGCCTAGGCCAACTCTGCAACGCGCCTATCATCATCCTTATATCATTCGATTCCACCTTGAACATTGGCCCTGGGATCGGTCTTCCTCAAGTTGGCGAACCCCCAGCACAATAAGGACCCACAAACGTTGTTCCGTACCTTTGAGAACATTCAACATGGAAGTTCTCCCAAAAGAGTCTCTACATTGCTCTACATAGCCCTCAGCTATCAACATCCCTAGCGAAATAACCAGAAGCCCGTTTTCCTAAGAAATCCCTAACTCAGCTGCGCCGCATTGATGCTGTCGATGCAGCCTCCCGCTGTAGCCCACCGCAAGGCCGGAGGAGCTGCCAGGACCTGTACGATCACATGGCGGAGGCCTAGCAATGTATAGTCCCCCTTAAGTAGATAGAATATGGCTTTGGGTATATTGTACTAAGATCCCCATATACCCCATATTCTATCTACTTAAGGGGGACTATATAGTATAGAGGGTGGAAGTTTGTTTCCCAAAACAAGGGAACCCAATATTGACCCCCAAACACTGTAATCCTTATTACGATTATCGGGACTCCCAAAAGGTACTCCAAACCTCCATGCAGGGGGAAGAAGGAGGTTGAGGTCGCTCCCTTAGGGCTTACATCGATGATCTTTGAGAAGCTCCCCATAAGGCCGTATGCGGGCAATGTTGGTGCATTTACCAGTGGCTTGCTTTAAAATTAAGTTCAGGGGATCCAACGGCAAACCCAAAAGTCCAGATCTATCATGATCTACCATATCTTCTGCAAAGGATTGAAGGAGGACAGTGACGCAAGGAAAGTATAGCAACGATGTGATTCCGGTAGTGCTACTACCAACGGTGAGACTTTGGGGCCAAACAGCCTGGAAACCTCCATCTTTCTGGAATGCAACACACTCACTGCTGGCATGGCCTCCTGCAGTGTGGAGCCGCGAGCCTCTTCGATCGCACCTCACTTCAAAAATACTGGCTCCTGAATTTCCAGCTGTTCACACGCAGCGTTCGCCACGCTGATGCAACAACAACAACAACAACAACAACAACAACAACAACGGCTTAGTTCATGATCCATGCACTAGCGAAATTGTCAAGAATACTAAAGAGCCCAATGCCATAGCAGTTGCACGCAACACATCCAACTGAGCTCACTGCCTGAGTCCAGGAGCTCTTCCAACACGCCTGGAGCGAAGGTCAGCTGGCCTTGCATGCACAAAGCTCCTTTTGCATTCAGTTTCAGGCCGTCAATGGGGGGGAAGTAATCACATGATATCGCAAAATCCAAGTGGCCCCAGATGTAGCCACCTGGTACCTGAAGCACCTCATGCGTCTTCTTTGGCTGCGCCCACCTCAGTGTTGAGCAAAGGCTAGCTCGATCTGCAACCGTAAAAAATCACGTGGGCTGAGGCGATTCTGCGGTCTAGCACGTGGAGAGACAAGTCGCAAAGACAAGTTGAGTTTGCGACATGAGCAGTTGCTGCTGTGCCACCCTCCAAAAAACACGTCGCCTTTGCCCTTTGGAAGCTCTCCAATCTTCGGGCCCGTCAGGAGCACCAGTACCTAGGAAGCCAGAGAGAAACTCAGCACGCAAAAGCAGACAACGCACCCTGATTACACCAGAAGGAAGGTGCTTGAAACCTTGAACTTGAGCATGGCTGCGGAGGGCGAATCTGGCGCGACATCAGCTAGCACCAGGAGCACGGCCTTGTGGAGGTACTGCGCTGGTGGCTGTCCCCTGCTTTTGGGCTTGGCAGGTCTTAGCTCTGGCGGACCCCCGAGGATCCAACTTGAAGCTGATCCGCGCAGGAGGCGGCCGGCCGTGATGGTTTGAGACCGAAGCAAAGGCGAGGAAACCTTCAGCGATGGGTTCAACCTAGGCACCAGGCAACAGAAAAGAACAACACCACAGCTGTTCTGGTCGTGCTTCTGCACACAAGAACTCGCAGGAGATAAAACAAATTTGCTTGCTGAGACCCAAGTAGCTGCTCTGGCTTCAAGTCTGTCATCCACCGCTCGAGGGCGGCTCTGGCAGTCTGATCATCAAAGCGGTCTACGCTGGAAGCCAAATCGAACAACTGTTCGTGTAGGCGCTCCCACTGTCTCATGCCGAGGTCAGGCGTGCTGGCTTGGAACCTTCCTCCGAAGAGTGCCTGTTGATCGGCTGCCGCTAGCAGCCAGCTGTGGCCAGCCTCCAACTCCTCCTGGAGCTGACCACGGCTCCAGCCACAGTACCCTGAGAGCACCAGGAACTCCTCCTGCCTGGCAATGCCTGCTGCCACCATTTCCCTTGCACGGCTGAAAGGTACCCAGCGGATGCCAGGGATGATCTCATCACCTTTGTCCATCCCTTCTCCTTCCTGGTCACATCGGTGAAGACAAAGGAGCGTCGGCTGGTCACGTTCCACGTCTCTTGCCGAATGCATTGGACCGCCGTAGGACACTTGCCATGGATGCTCCTCCACCGCAAGGCCGCCAAAGCTAGCCAACAGCTTCCGCAATTGAAGTTCTGCCTCCTGGAATGCGTTGAGCTTTGACCCTCCAAGGTCGTCCACTGTGCACTGTGAAGGCCGATTCAAGATCACGCCCACGTCGCCGCCCTCGTCTCTCTTGAGGATCAGGATGACCGCGTGCAGGAAGTACTGCTGATCTAGGGTGAAATTGTCCCCGGCACGGGAGATCAACACCGAGCCTTTCTCAATCAGTGTTGTGGAGTGCAACCAGCCGGCATCTTCGGCGTCAGACATGTCCTTGCCGCCAGCTGCCTGCTCCTTCTGCACCAGGCGCGCGCGGAACTCGCGCCAACTGGGTTCATCCAAATCACGAGATCTATCTGAAGGACGCCTTCCCTTCGATTCAGACACAGCTGTGGCGCACGCTATGCCTGCTAGCACAGATGCTGCCACCTGGTCCCAGGACAGGTCAGGATAGGAAGCTCTTGGGATCCTCTGAGCAGCAGACCTTGCGCGTGGCCTTCCTGGGAGTGAGACCCATCCATTGCCCCTTGGGGATGATAGGAGCACATTTGTGCGCACATCTCCTGGGCCGACCGATGGAACTGCGGGCGCACTCCGCAACATGAGGCCATCCCTGGCAAGGGCCATGGCTGGCCACAAGAGGGCCCCGTTTATACAATGTAGTTCTGCGGCTTTTTCTTCATGACTCATCTCTCAAACATGCAGCACTAGATGGCTATCTTTGGCTATCCTTTCCATGCTTTCGCACTTGTGTCAGCATAGAAAGGCCCGAAGCAGCGCGGAGGAAGATATGCTTTGAGCCTGTGAAGACCGGGTGGCGGTCCAGCGGAGATGCTCTAAGTAGAATGACCAACGCTGCCCCCATGCTGGATTGTAGTTATAGATGTTCTTGAACAACAAGCCTCATGAAGTCTCTGTGACAGTAACGCGCATCTGTTTTCCATTCCCCGCATGCAGTCCAGAATACTTTGCGCTGTCCATGCAGTCCTTGGACATAGTGACCTTGAGGCATCCTGCAATCCCTATGTGTTCTTGTCCTGTCGAATGTTGCTTGCGGACAGGAGTCTGCAACTTGCGACTACATTCAAGACGTCACGATTCCCCCAAAGCACCAAGGCATAGCCATATGTGGAGGTTATCCAACAACTTCAGAGGTTGGTTGTCAAGGAAACACTCATACATCGCCAGAAGAGCCCAAATCAACACTCCGCTCACAACATTCAGTCAAAATTTCCCCACTTGCTCAACACTTCCAGAACTACTTTAATGCCACCCCCACACATCCGTTGCGTAAAGCTTGCGCACAGCAATTCTGCCTCGCAGTGGTTCGAATCGCTTCGGCTCAGCCCCATCCAGCCTGGTGCCGTCTGAGCTGCTCATACGAGCTATAGTCTAAACTCCTTGACAGGGGGTTATAGGGGATTGTAGAGGGGAGTACTATAGGGAGTTTAGGCTATTAGCCCAAATGGGGTTGGGCCTTTTTGGCTTTGGAGATTTAGGCATAAGGGCAGGAAAGGATGGAATGTTATCGGGCGTGAAGCGATATAATCTGCCATAAGAGGGGGCTCCATCTGCTAAGACATCAATATCACAGTATGGCACATAGCTTGCAGCCTACATTGAAATGTTGAACCCCCTAAACCCTAAACCACGGATACTGGAACCCAGTCAGCTATCATGTCGTACCGCTACCTCCAAAAGGGGCCCCGATTTTTTGGAGACCTTCGCACGATTGAAGCCATCTCCTTAGTGCAGGGACTCTAGCAGTTCTGGGTAAATCGCAATCGATGTCCGTAGTCACGACGAGCTCCCGGTTACATTTTGAATGAACGATCAACATTTGGAACCAAGCCTCCTCTTTTTTACTGTTTTTGTCCGGGTCAAGGGTCGTGCAGAAGACGATCCCACGACGTGCCACGCAATAAAGGGGCACACAGGTAATCTTCGTTCTCATGATAGGATATCATACAGGAGTGCTGCAGAGTTCCCGCTCGCCTTGGAGCCAGCCCTGGGGAAAACCACTCTCTGAGCAAGAAGTACAGGCGGTCAAAGGGCCTATAACCTGAAAGGAAAAGCCCCGGCCTGAAAGAGTGACCCGAGAATGAGGAGGAGAGGAGGGAGGAGCCGCAGCTCAAAAGGGCCAGGAACCAGGGTCGGGATGTTGGCATGAGTTGAGAAGTTATCACTGGAGAACGGCAGCCGCATATGAGACATGAAGCTCTTCTTGAAGCTGCCAAGCCATGTAATCAAGCTATGCCGCCAGCAAATGGAGAAGTCGGTACCCTGGCAGGCTCTCCCGAAGCACAAACTCCAACCTGAGATGCGAAACCCAAATCCCAAGTCTCTAGTAAACCCAAATTCTGTTGGGCTTCAAAGGCTTAACCAAGCTGCTGCCGCTGCTTGCGCGCTTTGCCTCTGCCTTTGCCACCTGAGGCAGGCAAAGCAGAGGGTTTGCTTACAGTTTCCGTACATTTTGCTTGCCTGGGGTCCAGAGATTTTCTTTCGAAGGGTAAATGCATGGCACACTAAAGGCTGATAAACCGCTTCCGGACTCCGTTTCCAAGCTCATGCCCTCCATTTGTTGCAAAAGATTCACTTTTGAGGCATTCAACTGGTCACAAGTAGAAGGTCAGCTTCAACGCAAGTTTTGTTAGGAGTTGTCAAGTCTTCTGAAGGCACAGCACCACATGCTCTTCTGAATCCCACCTCTTCCTTTGCCTTTGCCGTTGTCCAGGGCCTCAGCAAGCTTTCAGTCAACGCATGGACAGGGCTGAGTCTTCCTTGTGTCTAGTCGGGAGTTGACGAATGCATCCCCATGGCAACCCCGTACTTAACCCCATCTAACAACAATAAATACTAGTTTCCCTTTTCTCTTCCGAGTCTTCATGTCCTACGAAAAGTTAGCCAGTGAACACCACTCACGCCTGAACCAAGTGGGCTGAGCTCCTGCCTGCACATCTCTGGCCCAAGACCGTGACAAGCGCAGCGGGGCAAAGAACCACAGTCTTTTAAATACATTGCACTAAGATAAGATTAGCGTTTAGGATATAGGCAATATAGGATTTAGGTCTAAACGGAACCCAGAACTGAGAAAGTTGCAGAAATCATGGTGGCTCCTGCCTCTTCAGGTGCCGGCGCAGCTTCCTCCTGCAAGACATGACTCCAAGCTTGCCTACCATGACCGGAATACACCTTTTGTGTCGTTTGGAGCCCATGTAGCCCCGCCCCTGGTATCGTACTACAAACAACCTCACAAACCTCATTCCCCAGTGCTTGCCAAGGCATCTTTCAGACTCAAACTGGCCTGGGCGCGCTGGAGGAAGCTAGGTGGCCGGTAAACTTCGCCTTCTGCCATGTCACCTGGGGCATGTCACGACAGCGCTCAAGTCTCCAAATCAGTTTAAAAGGGAGAGAATGAGCACTTGGGATCCGAGAATATCTCCTCTACCCATCAGGGAAGCTAATTGCTGGCCATATGTGCCTCGAAAGATTGTTATCCTGAGTAAAAGGAGGCATGCGTGCCTGCTGGGCGGGCCACTTGCTCTGCCATACTTCTCCTCAGAAGACAAAGGGCAAGGTGGCCTCTAAGCAGCTTCATGCTTCGCATATCAAGTGCTAATGCAATGATATGCTCCACTTCTTCAGCCAAAGCTCTTTACTCTCTCCAGCTCCTTGTTGGTGCGTATGTGCCGCCTTGGAATGGGAAGGCTGTCTTCATCATGCCCCCGCTCTAGGCGGGCTAAATATTACCACCATGATTTGAACAGTGTATTACAGCGTATTGTAGCTTCCATGTTATTTTCCATTATCCCAATAGAATAACCTCAGTATAACCCTAAGATACCCTAAGATTACCCTAAGCATGCACCAGCCCGCGCAGGCAAATTCGATTCGCAGTTGCGATGCTGGAACTGAGGCAAGCGCAGAAACATCTCAAGCTGAACCTTACTTCTGCCGACCAGCCCCGCAAGTGCAACTGTAACACTGTGATGGTCCAGAAACGCGTGCAGGCACTAGCTTCTGCAAGTTCAAGGCTCTGCTGTCATTGCGCCTAGAATGTGTACGTCAGGTCTAAAAGCTAGAACGAACTCCTTTGGAGAAATGTTACCCAACCAGCCAAGAAGCATTCACGAAGGCACCCATGTCGTCCTTGGCCTCCACGGACTTCACACGAGACTCGCCGAACCAAGCCTCCAAGGAATGAGCCCTGCCAGTACTACTTTCACCGAGCAGACAATTGGCTTTCCGTTAACACCACCCTCTCCATGAAACACCACTGAGCCTTCACTACCGCTCACGTAGGCAATGTGGACGGGGAGACAGAAGCGTAACACAGCGAAAGATGTGGCCCTCGTGTTGTCTGCCAGTGGCAAGCTGGATAATTAGGTGGAGAATTCAATGTAGTGATATTGATTTACAGAAGGCGCGGCGAAACCGATGCGATCAGCGCAATACTGCCTACCACAATGACAAGACGCACGATCATGACATGATCAGAAAAACCATGGAACTCACCGCATCTAAAGCTGCTTGAGCTCCAGCGAAGACGCAGCTGAAAGCTCTACCAAACTGTAGAACTAGCCGCAACCTCTTCAGCTTCTTCTGGTGGGAACTAGCTTCTTATCATGGATCGCGTGGTCTCTCACAGGCTTCTTCTTGACCTATCGTTTGCTCATCCAGGTCCTAGCTGCTTAGCTTATCCTGAAGGGCCCTTCCAACAACTTGATGCGGGAATCACGGACCTCCTGCGCACGCTGTAGCAACATGTACTTTGTCTTGGGGTCGAGCTGTTCGAACTCCTGCGTAGCAAGAGGTCAAGAAGCTTAAGATGCACAAGCTTCTCGGCAATGGTCCCTACTTAAGATGCGAGTGTTGGGAATAGAGGGGTCGCGGCAGGTAAGCTACTGTACGCACAAGAACCCTGCCCCTTGCACAAACTGCTGCTCCCCCAAATGTCCAGTGCTTTCCCTTATCCCTCCATACGCCTGACCAACCAGAAGAGGAGCTCAACAATCTTTGCAATTTCAAGCAGCCTGTTTTTTGCTCCTCAGGTCCACCAGCAACCCTTCGTTGCTGTGTACAACCTATGTTGCCAGAAATGTCTACACGGTGTACACACATACATGTATGCATACAAAGACATGTCCATCACACAAACAAATGACCTCTACATCCCTGGAACATCTGGGCTCCTCTAAGGCCACAGGGCCATCCAAAGGCACAGTGACCATCCCTCCACCAGGCAGCGCATAGCCCTGGAACTGTGGTTGTTGGTGTGGTAGCAGTGGTGGCTCTAGCAAGTAGCCGTGGTACTAACACTAGGAGGAGGAAGTGGTGGTCGTGGTGTCAGTGGTAGTGGTGGCTCAAATCCGGTTTACTGTTTTGGAAGGCGCACAAAGATCCTCATGTCAGCACAGACCCCGGAACAAGTGCCTTCCACTCGTCTGGCTGACGCATGCGACCCCTCGCGCGCCGCTCAGGAACTTGCCTGGATATGCTCAAACGGAAGTGGTCGGTTTAGTGGGTGCCAGACATGGGAAGGGATTTTCCTGTCAAGGCGGATTACTAGATTGAGCCCGCAAACAAGAACAGTTGGGAAGGCT